TACCTTCTTCGTTTATCAAAACAGATAGCGGCTGTCGAAAACTCTTCAGAACATCGCTTAGGCATTCTCATGTCTGGACGTGTAAATACAGGTAGTGTAGTCTACCAAACCTTAAAATCTTGGGAAAAGCCCTAAGTTTTTGCGAAATTCTTATTATATATTTAACYTTTTTTCCTAGTACGAAAGTATAACAATTTGAACGAAGTCCTCACAGCACTAAGAAACAAAGAAGTACGAGGAGCTCTTGTAGATACGTATGTGGCAGCAAGCGAGAAATCCTTTCTGGAAACGGGCGAAATCATCGTTGCCAAGAATCTAGAGAGATCGTTTGGATACGGGATCGCTTTTTCGGGAATTGCCGGAAATCTGATAGACGAATGCAGGGATTATATCATATTAAACCAAGCTGAAATATTGAAGATCATCGAGGAAAGCACAAACAAGATTTCATCAAAGGTAAAGCTGTTGGCATCATATAATTGAAGGGATGGTTAGTTTACGTTTAAGCCTAGCTACAGCTAGCTAGTTAAAGTCACAACGAGTTCAGTTGGCGGCCATGTTGTAGGACAACCTACTTCTAGGGTATAAACTTCCTTTGTTTTGCTTTACGGTTTATCTTTAATACAATTTTTCAATAGTGAGGGGACGGTGGGGGTTAATTTGGTGGGAGGTGTTATTCAGTCGGTTGATTTGTTTGTTGCTTGCCTAGCTTGGTTGGTCGGCCGGCGGGTCGGTTGTTTGAGCGTTATCTTTCCATTTCAGACAACGTGTCATTCGCTTGAGCATATGATACTTTGTTTGAGTTGCATCCATATTCATGCGCCTTCTCATGTGCACCCGTTAAACACAGATACTCTAAAGAATAACTCGTGGTTTGAAAAAAATGGAAAAGCATCACACCAAAAAACCAGCTACAGAGGCCAATTCATGGCTCCGACTCAGATTAATAACAACCAGTCATCGTTGTATCAGTTTTCCCAGTAAATTTAAATATTGTCCCACAAACAAGTACACAGTATCTGTTTTAAAGAGGCGGTTTTATTATTATTATTATACTTTTTATTTTTTTATTTGGAAGGGTTTGAATGCTCATAACATTGTATCTATAGCGTCAAACGGCCTGAAACTTGGTCAGTAAGCTTGTTGTATCTYGTTATTTCTTGGTATTGATGGGTTGCTAGCATTCCCAAGAGAGTCAAAAGACAAAAAAATGTCGGCTATTATGGTGCAGTTAACAATGAAGCTAATGAGAAATCTTTTGTTAAATGACACCAACATGGCAGCAATGATGAATTAACATGCAATCAAAGAATTTGGTTTCTTAAGCCTTAATTAAACTAGTTTTTAAAATTTGGACACATTGACCTCTATCACACGGCGGCCATGTTTATTCTCATGAGAATAAAAACCTTTGCTTAACCTGCATTAATTCATTTTCAAGCTCTTGTATGTGAGGCTACGCGTGGTAGAATCTATTGTTCCAACCAACATGGCTGCCGCGTGAAAAAGGCCCATTGCCTTGCTCGTTTTTTTACTGGCGAACTTTTTGAGCTTGTTGGAGATTGGTAACTCCGACGTTAAGTCAATATGAGTTCTTAAAAAGACGATGTTGTTAAAGAAATCATCGATAGATTTTAAATGGATGGCGTTTCTTTCAGTCCCAAAGTTCARTCGTCGAGGAGCAATCAACAGATATTTTTAATGCTTCATCCSTCCTCTATTTGAACACTGTCATGATCCTAAGCTGTATGCTGATGTTTGGGATCCTCTGTGGAATTGTATGGCAGGTTATCTGGGTCAAGAGGAAACACTCGAATAAAGTCAACTTTGAAGGTACAAAAACCTGGCAAATGCGCTCTTGTTTGAAATGTTTAATGATTTATTAAATGTGAAAAATTTCGTCTTCCTTTCGCGGATGATTTGTTGTTTTTTGTAGTATTTCTAGGGATTGTAACAAAAGAGGAGGCGGAATCCCGGATCAAAAACGAGTTTGTCTGTCTGTCGCCTGCTCGTTCGTTTCTTTCTTTCTTTAATTAGATTTAAACTAAAGCCAACTGTTTGCTGCAAATCTTTCATCCTCTATTTATGACTAGTCAAGACTGGTTGCGCGCGCTTCTTTGAAAATAGCTGCAAATACGAGATTGCAAGATTTTTAAAAATATTGTTTCTTATAGATACATATTGATATTGGTCAGTTTGCTGAAAGAGTGTTCCCATTAAGACTATAAAACTCTGTATGATTGATTAGAATTGTATATATTACTTCTAGCTGCAAGCTCAAGGTACAAGGCAGACTTTAAATTCATACAAGAATCACGGTTGTTTGTCGAAGAATTCTGCATGAAAGTGAAAACTGATTTGCAGGAAATGAAAAACAGCCACAAAAGAGAAACAAGAAAATACCTGGACAGAATGAAGCTCAAGAGGCAGCAAAGGTCTCTGGTAAAGAGAATCTGCCAATTCTTCGTTGGCAATAAATATGTCAGTAAATCAGAAGGAATGAGCGAAGCAGACAGAAAATAGAACAAGCGAGTACGAAGATAAACTGAAATTTTACTTTTCTTCTACTTGTTTTTCTCCTAGAATTCGCACTTAAAAACATCTCAAGGTTTTTAAAAATAGTCCACTTCACAGTTCCCTACGCCATCTTTGCATCGGAGCGAAACGAACGGTGAGATTGCAATGATAGAGACATGTGAATAATTGTCTAAGGTGTTAAAAACACCGTCTCTATATATATCATTGCAAGCTCACCGTTGGTCTGGCTTCGATGCGAAGGCACGGTAATCTTTCAAGATGGCGCCGGGAACTGTGAAAGGAATAATGCTAAATCACATACTCAGCCCTTTCGTTAGAGAGTGAAAGCGATTATATGTAAGCTTCTTTCATGCGGCTTATACGTCCGCACGTGCAAGTATAAACTTGCATATATCTGCATATTTAAATATTCTTGTTTCACTTCAAGCTAGTTCGATCTAGTTCGCTCAGTCGTTATTGCATTTAGACAAGACACAGGAAGACGTACATAGAGACGTAATATTACTAAGTAAAACGAATTAGACGTGATACCAAGAATTAATTCATGTGCATATTCGGGTTCGTATTCAATCGAAATATAGCGTTCTTCAGTTTTAATTCGGTTGAATATCAAACAAAGTATGCTGTCAGCCTGCGCTTTTTTCAATATTAATATATATTAGAGACTTTAAGGTTTTGCTGTGCAGTGGCTTCTTCTCAATTTCAATAACATGGCAACTTTTTTATTATCATTCGTTTCTCTAGTGGCATGTACACCTATTTTAGAAATCGTTGTCGCACCAAAAGCCTCAAGCATCGAGCCAAGACCGCAGAGAACGCCGGTACTTTTAGCTGTAATTAGTTTATAAATGGTGCATTTTCATTTATTGACTTCACGAATTGCTCCAAGCAAGGCTGCTTGAGATGATAATTAGTGGAGAGATATAGCCACTTGCATCAACCATGAATAAATCAATTATAATTAAAAATACCGACGTTCTCTGGAGCCCTGGCTTGTTACTTGACGCTCTTGGTACGAAAACGATTTTCGAAATAGGTGTAAATAGCCGTCTCCATCTTGCCTATATATCCAGGTCTAGTTTTGTATATAAACACCAAGAGTAACTTTCAAGATGCAAAGTTTTATTTTATTTAAACACATTTTGCTCTGCGTTTTCTCCGAGAGAAAAATTCTCTGGAAACGGCTTATGTTAATATCTATTTATTACAAGGTAATAGAGAGTTTTAGATTTACGTTCAAGGCAAACGTGAAACGTCAGTTGACCAGTAAAAAATTCTTTTAAATTACTGAAAAAGAATCGCAAAAAAGTCCAAGTAGTAGAAAAACAAAAGAATATTTGCGCTTGGTGAGAAGGTTTGTAAAAGATAAAGTAGAATACAGGAAAACTATGAAAACGTGGTCACGTTTGCCGTTTGCGGGGAGGAAAAAAAGTCAATCTAAAACTCTCTAATGGTGCACATTAAGCTTTAGAATTTAGCAAGTGTTGTGTATTTATAACACAGATAAACCAATACTTGAAGATTTTCTAGTGTTTCGATTTCCATGCTTCGGACTTAAGATGGTTTCTGATTGTATTCACCACTTTCATATTTCCATAATGTATTGTGCCTTTGGGGAGCAACCAGGGGGAAAATGGTTGTAAATACAACCAGAAACGTACAAAATGTTTTTGTTTGAAAAACTATTGAAGGTAAATATTAGCACTTCTTCTGTAACACTAAACGTTGTTGATAATCTGATCGTGGGAAATTAATTCATAATGGCGCGCATTTTGACCTGAATATCAATATTATCAGATATTAAAGTGCTAGTCTTACGAAAATGACACCGTCCCTAGAAATTGTACCATATAAAACTAGGTATGTAATATAGCTTACTGTCCAAAACTGGGAAGATGCTGTATTTAGCCAGTAAAGTTTGGCCGCTTTTGAGTCCGCCATTAAGCGATTGCGTTCCTGGCAACTTTTAGTGATTCGAAGGAAGTGACGTCATACGCGCAACCCTTCAAAATTCCCGGCTTTTCACAATGTGTAATTGCAACCAAATTTCGATTATTTTTGATTTAAAAACAAGCCTTAAACCAAGTCATGCCTTCTTAGAGAGAATGCTGTAGTCAGTTTGGATAAAAAGGATGCCAGTTGCGCGTATGATGTCACACATATATCAAAATGCAACGACAAAGTCGCTGCTCATAGAAATGGCGGGCGAGCTTTTAACAATTTTCGGAAGTAGAATTCAGACGGGAAAAGTTTCTTTTTCGAACCAATTATTGTTTATTGGTGAACACTATAACCTATTTGAGCATATAGAAAATCAAGGATTTTTTTGCGTCATTAATATTTTTGAGACAGCACTTTAAAAGCTGTGTGTATTAGATTGAAGAACTTTCGATTTTATGACCGTCTACCCAAAAATCAAAGCATTATGGGAAACGTGAAAATGGTGAATAAGACGTGGAGTGTCAAAACATCATACGATMGAAGTTTTATTTCCAAAATTTTAGCGAAATCYATTTACTACATACATTTCCTTATAATAGTGGATAGCGTGGGTTACCTGTGTTCAACCCAACAGTTGTGTGAATCAAGCTTTGTTAAATGCATGCATGCGGTTCAGTGTATCTTATAATCCTTTAAAGTACTATTAATAAATGTACGCTTTAACCGTGTTCAAATACTTGGTACGTTCTATTTATAAAAGCATTTTGTTTCAAAATGATGTTTAAATCTCATGTTGAACTTATGAATTCATCAAATGACTTTCTTGCCATTTTCGTCGATATAGCAGCCGTTATGAGATCGAGGAAAAACACTGGGTACAGTTGGCATTGAAGTGCATTTTGGGACTGTTTTAGGTGGCATATTTTCAAAATAGCGTCTATTTCGTTCCCTAAAACCGTCCCACATGCACAATGCACTGCGATGACGACTCGCTCGACCCAGTTTTTTCCTCAACCTCCAAATGGCTCATTGAGCTTTTTTCTGCTTACTATTTTCATCTATATCATCCTYGTTTTTCTACAAGGTTTAATAAATAGATAGACGTTAGTCAAAAGACGTTACTAAAGCAACAATTCTTTTCTAGCTTCATTATTTTGTCTGATGGGGAACAAATCCACTCGGCATGCAGTATTTGAGGATTGAAGCACTTGAATACTCTACATTCTATTATTCCATAAACTAGTATCCAGTCTAATAATAAATCATTTTAGAGCATTACAAGGGGCTGGGACACCTCTCCCAGGCTCCGCTAGTTCATATTTCAACTATTTATCTAGTGTTGCCTTAGTTTTGATAAAGCTATTGCTTGGTTTCAAGCCTCGATAAAACTGATCTTAATTCTAGTGCCATACTTCCTAATTTACTTGTTTTCTATATGTTGCTTATAAATAATCGCTAATTACAAATAGGTTGCTATCAATAGACGTCCCTTCCGGTAATAGCTGTAGTTCTTGATTTCTGGTTTCAAGAGAAAGAAATAGTGAGCAAGAATACTTTGAAGACTTATTTCGACATGCATATTTTGAATTAATAGTTGCTAAATTTGTATTCATTAGTCCCCAAAAAGTCACGGGATTGATTTTAAGCTTTAGTTGCTTATAGTCTTATCGTTTGATAAGCTTAAAAGCAGTTTTAAATACGATGTTCAAGTCATCGTCTTTCTTCGCCTGCCCCGAATTCATCACTTCTTGTTCTTCCTCTTTTTTTTCTCTCTTCAAGATTAGTATCAGTTCTTTTCGGTGCTGTTCTCTCAACATCTGAATTTTTCTCTTGGCAGTGATGTAGAATTCGTCAACGATTTGCCTCAAAATGATCCTTGTCTTCTCTCGTTGTTGGTGTTCTATACGTTGTGCTAGGTTTACTGTAAAGTAATAATACACACTAACTTTGCTAATTAACCAAAGAGATAGTCTTACATAGGCGTACAGAAAGCACTAGTGGCTGCGTTCTAGAAATACTATATGGTCAGTGTAAGTCAGGGGCGTAGCGAGGACCTAGGAGCTGGCGGGGCACTGACCCAAAAAAAAAAATTGCTCCTCCCCCCACGAATAAACGCGCAAACAAAAAAGAAACAAATTCGTATTGGTATGAACTGATTTATACAGCGCACTTTCCTAGGTTGCAATAATC